TATAAATCTTTTGCAATAGAAAATGTCTTTCATTCTGGGCATCCAAATGGAGTAGTTTGAGGTTAATTTAATCATCATTGTTGATGTCATTAAGGTTAACTCTTCCGTTTGTGAATGACACAAGTTAAACTATATAATGAGTCAAATCTTTTATGACACGTGTTGGAAAATATAACAAATAAAACTAATACAAGGTCAAATAATAAAATATTATTCATAAATCTAATTTTTTTTCATACTTTGTATAATCACAATGAGAAAATAAAGGGAATAAAGTAAAAATATAATGAAAATATAATAATAATAATAATAATAATAATAATAATAATAATAATCTCACAAATATTATGGGTGAACATTCTTTTGATAGTTAACTTAAAAGAATTCTCTCTCATGTAAAAGTGAAATTATTTGTCTATCAATACCCTTTGTTCTAGTCTTTCAAAAGATATATCAAAACAATGTAAGAAATAAACTTTTATAACTAAAGATGCTAATTAAATGAGTGACCTAGAATGAAGGAGCGAGTTTTTCTCCTTTTCTTTTCCATTGTGTTGCTACAAAATTTTTTGTACTTTATTTCTTATTTATTTATTTATATTTAACATTATATTTCCGTTGTATCGAAATAAATATATAACCAGTTTCTGCTTTTTTCTTATGGATTTGACCTGAAAATTTGCAATAATGTGTGTCTATAAAGTGTAACCAGATAACACACTTTGTTGACACACAAATCCCTTTCAAAGATATCTTCAACAGATAGTTAGAAATTAATTCGTAAAAATGAATTAATGAAGTGAAAATTAATTATGAACTTACAGATAACTGCTTAATTTTGCACTAATAACATAATATATTTCGAAACACAGTTAGACTAGTTGCTAGGAAATTAAATCGTCTAACCACACGGGCTAAGTATTAGACATGCAAAATTGCTGAGAAAGCATCACATAAACAATTTCGACTATATGTGAGTGAATTTATGCTAGATCCAAATTTGGACGTAACTGAAAGACTCTGAAATTACTTTGGGACCCGCTTTCCCTTGTAATTGACTAATAACTAATGACATGGTTCGTGTTTTGTATCAGTTTCAACCAATAGCTAGGGCAGAAATTTGTGATTAACATATCACTGACGTATGAATTGAATATCATCAGTTAGCATGTCGCCTACTAACAAACACTAAACACATCACTTGACAATAATTTTTGAAAATGCGTGTATCGAAGAAAAAAATAGGAAAAGGAAATTAGAAAAAAAGAGAAGAAAAGGACAAATGGTCGGTTCCAACCTTCAAAATAAAAAGGCAAATATATATATGCGAGTTATCTTCTGCTGAGATGAAGTTAGAAAACATGAACCACTATAACACTAATCTATTATCTATCTATCACTCCGTACGAAGGGATAACACATGCTCCTTGTTTCCTATGATATGCGTTGCAGAACACGTTTACAACACTAGATAGTGGGGGACCTTCCTTACATGCTCCATGTGATTCGCACATGGCAGTATTTCGTGCCATCATGTCCAATAATATCATATGCTAATTAGTTAACTTACCAAAAACAACAAAATTAATGCTATAGAGTAAATGAACAAAGATAATAAAACTTACATGAATATAGTTAGTGTTATTCATCCATCAAAATTAGAGTTTTACTTTAACAGCATATATAATAAAATATCCCATTAGATGTTAGGGTGTATTATTGACTCGGACTGTATCTGAGTTTTGTCTGTGAAATAAGGATGTAAGATGCAAAGACACTAGGAAATTAAAATAACATGGCTAGAGTCTGATTTACCCATACCCATATCAAAACAACAATACACTTTGGCCTGAGGCCTATACAAACGTACATTATTTATTGGATAGTTTATAGTCTATAGTAAGCATGAGCATACTGATAGACATAGTTTGCAGTTGAAAATTGAAATAATCACACCACAAACAAGGACTAGTACGAGAAAAGAACTAGAAGATAGTAGTATAGTAGGGTACACATATATAGTAGGGGTGTTGCCATTCTGAGAGTTCCCTCAAGAGCCCAAATCACAAAGAGTGAAGTGAGAAGGAGGAGTTGAAAAATGCCAAAGGATTGAAGTTGCCCTTTCCAAGAGAAACCGCCCTCAAGAAGCACGGTTATAGCCACCAATCAGCATCCACATATGCACCACCCCCATGTGGTGGCATGGGGCTAAGAAAAGGGTTTCAAAGGGGTGTTACATGTTTGGGATGGGGTGTAGTTTAGAGAGGGTTTGAGGTTGTAGCTAGGATTGGTTGATATAGGATTTTCTTCTTGTTGGTCATAATGGCAATAAAAGAGTGAGATGACTTAAGTAGCTTGTGTGGTGTTGGGGGGTGACTTTTTGTTAAAGGGAACACAAATTAAAGTGATAAAGAGTGAAATGGAGGTTCCTAATATAGCATCTTCCAAAGCATATGCCCTTGCCCACCGCCTTTGTTCCACACATGACAAACACCTTTCCATTTTACCCTCACGTGTCTTCTTTTTTGCTACACTTAATTGGGATTTATATATTATACTCCTCTTCAACATTCGCCATCCAACAGTTGTTTGAAAAGAGTGAGTGCTCACTTAATAGTTCACAAGGGATAGCAAATTTGGTTTTGTTATCGAGAGAGGCCTCTGAAGAAGGGGAACCATGGGCTAACAAAATCGACCCACTATTGTATCATGGTTCTGATTAGATCACCACTCGCTGTATTTAGTTTTGGAAGCTTCAATTTCTCACTACAACATACAGTGTCCAGAAATGGAGAGGGATATGATGGGATTTGCCGATTTATCTAGAAAAGTGAAGTAAGATAACATATTTCATTTCATTTGTTTACTTCATTTATTTTTCTATTCTTTTGTGCTAACTTCAATTTACTTAGAGTATGTTAAGATACAGGTTTACAAGTTTTGAGAGTCTTTTTTATTAAAAAAATATTTTTAATTTTTAATAAAGAATCTCTAAAAAAAACGTTTCTATCTTAATCTAAAGAATCTCTTAACGAAAGTGGAAGTGCGAAAGAAAAGTAGCATTCCGATTTTATTATATTTGTTTTTGTACACTATTAACTTTAATTTGTTGTAGACAATTTTATGCTGGAATGCGACTTTTGAAATGTTGAATGTTTTTACCTGAAGACCAATGTACAAAGTAGCTTGCAAAAGGCACACTTTTCTCCCTTTTTTAAATCTTAACATGGTTGGTATATCTTTTCTTTACATAATATATGCTTATTATATAACCTACCCACTATTCCGTTCCCTAACTAAATAAACAATAGCTATGTTCATAAATGTTGAACCAAACACATGGACATTGTTAACCAGCCAAACACATAGCAACCATTGTATATACTTATCAGCTGGCAGGTGTAGCTAAGCTGAGAGATGTAGAAAGGCATATGCTTGTGAATATTTTACCATTAATTTGGGCAGACATATTAGGTAACGACATATTTCGCTTTCAGCCGTTCCGACTCAGACTTTTATATAGCTAATCTTATTGTATGAGTGAGATTTCATATTCTTAGTGACAACAGCATCATCATCATTATTATTTGCCTTGCCCAAATAAGTTTGATAATTTATTTGCTTGCATAATGCTTGCCTTCGCTAGTGGATTTATCCTTTGGAGATCACTTTGAGACAAGTCTTTATGTTATTAATTTGGGGTTAAAATAAATTAACTCCCTCATCGCAAGTCTTAATACATGAAAAACGTCTTTTGAAGAGAGTTTGTATATCAGTATAGGAGAAGAAAAAGAAAGTGATGTTTTGAAGACGCCAATTACATGAGAAAGTAACAGCTTATCTGAGCTATGCGTTGGTTTATATTTCAATGAAGGACTTTTTTGTAAAACAAACAACTGTTTGAAACACACACAATAATAGGAATTGGAGAAACCGAGAAAGGCATATACGCCGGTTAGCATGAGTGGATGCTTTGAAAAACCAAAAAGAGAAGAATATTATTTGATGCCAAAGTGAAACAGCATGATGCTTCTACCTGGATTGCTGTTCAATTTTTCTTTTTCTAATTTTGGTCCGATTGATAGAAAAGTTAGTTTAAAAGCATTGAATATCTTGGAAATGAGGGCCTAGACAGCCACCAACGTAGTCAGTGGGAAGCATCATGGACAAGATTATAAGGTTTCTATCGTTATTTGTTATGCAGAATAAAATGCAACTATGAAAAGTGGATGCGGCAGAAAATGTTTCTTCGATAATGTTTTGATTGAGAAAAGTTTGATAAATATTTGATTTTGACTTGTTAGTCAAATAAATTAATTGGGTACACAAGTGTTACGGAGGAAAAACCAACCAAATCAAATGGTTATAAATAAATTGGTACAAGACTTGGTCAGGGACGGGTTTTTCAGTATTCATCAACGATGTTCAAAGACAAGGTTCGGAGGTTGTAAGAAATTATTCAGTTTGGTTAGGCTCTCTTTTGATCAACATTTCCCTCTTTATAATTGACTGGGTTACCTATAATTCTTCGAACTGGGATTTTCTTCCAAAGATGCTAATGAGATATATTTTTTTTTAATAATTATGTTAGACGAAATGTTTACTAGTTTTATTGATAATTATATTTTTTTTTAAAAAAAAATAGTTAACTAACTAAGTCTTTCTTCTTAAATTACCTTTTTTTTTTCTTTTCAAAAATTTACAATGGTATTATGTTTTTTAAAGTCGGTCAGGACAAAAAAAGTGGATTGGGACAAAGCAGACCTATACGAGGTATTTCTAAATTCTAATTGCATGCTCTCCTTTGTTAGTGGTACGGTCAGTTGATCACGTGACACTATGGATGAAACATTTATATTTTTTGTGCTCTGTTTTTTTTCTTCTTCATCTCTGTATTTAATAATAGCAGCACTTGTAACAACAGCCCAAATAATGAAATAGTGAATGTTGCATGTTTGAAATCATGTCATGTAAAACCCAAGGGATATAAAAGAGCAGTGTACACGGAAGAGCAAGTATTGACAGCCCAAGACAATTACAATATCACTTGTTAAGTGTCATTCTACCTTCAAAATTTCTGATATTTACAAGTACAAACGACCATTTTAGATTTATTACTATTCTCCTATTCAATGAATGAGTCATTTCCAAATGATACATCCTATAGTTGATTGAAAACTCGGACACTTAAATTTCGTGAAAAGCTACCTGAGATTGGCAGCGTCAAATCCAATAATGGGGTAATCGAATTGATCATAATTCTATGATAGCCATCCTTTTTTGTTCTTGGTCGCCTTGAGCTTCATCACAAGTTCTTCACGCTCAGCTTCCACCTGGGCATATTTAAGGCTCATGTGGAAGTAGCGCTCCTGAATATCTCTCAACTCTTCCTCTAGTATAGATTTTGTACGTTCAAATATTTCTTTCGTTACTAGTTCTTCAACCATTGATTTTACTGGGCCATTTGCCTGGTTGTTTCGGCCTTGAGAGGGTGACCTGCAGGATATGTATACAAGGAGTTATATAACAAATTACTTCATGAGCAATAAGGCATCCACTAACAAAAAACAAATACAAAGTGCTTCCTAAACTAGCAGCAGAGTTTTAAACTTGGTTTTAACCAAAAGAAACATAAATGAGCCTTAATAATAGGCAATCTGGCGAAAACTGTTTTCGTTGCTTTCATATAATAAAACGCATAATCTATTATTCAGGAATTTGATATTATTTGTAGACTCATCCTGGAGAGGAAGGATGAGAACATCATAGTTCTTTTTTTCTTTTTTTTCCCTCTTCTAATTTCTTCACCATTTATTTTTATTCTTTTCTCTACTTTATTTTCTTAGAAAAAAAAAAAAAAACTTAGTTATAAGAGAAGAGAAGGGCTAGAATGGCACCCATCCTTTCATTCCTCCCGAACGATTCCCAAAAGTCAAAACTTCATTATCAAGGCTCTAAAAATAAACAAATTTCTTACTCGACAAGTTTTCCTTTTGGGACAATATGAAACCAAAAGAAAGTTGGCTTCTTGCGTAACTTAAATTTTCTTTTATTTCTCGCAAACCGTATTTGGTGTTTTCACCTGATAATGACTGTTTTGAGCCAAACATTTAAGAAATTCTAAATTTGTCATCAACCAAAATTGTCAAAAATATTTGCATTATCATAAAATGATCCTAATCTGTACAACAAACCCATGCTATGAATATATTCGAGTTTTAAACAAAATGTCGTTTAAGACATTAGAATTATCCTGTTCCAAATTCGAACGGTTTAAAATAACCCATCTAGTGGGAAACAACTTTTGTTATTATTAAATTGTTCAGAATAGAAGATTCAAACTAATAAAAGAATCATAAATTCAGCATGAGGAGGTCAAAGACACAGATTAAAAGCATTTTCCTTTGAGATTTGAAGGTACAATGTGTTCCTCTAACCTGTCATTGGTTTCTTCTGCTTTTGCTAGTTCAGTCTCAAGCAATTGTGTCTTCGGTAGTGGATCAACTTCAATAGCATGAACATTTTCATCAAGAAGTCCAAGTTCAGTTTCTACCTATTTAAGATAAAGAAGTCAAGAAACAGAGACATTGAAAAGTAAGGTGGCATTCCCCGTAAGACTACATATATTTCATATTATCATCTTGCACCGCACAATTGTAATTATAAAATATACTTTGTAACTTTTGACAAGGAGGTAAATTACAAAGTAGTCAATATTCAAAACATATCACCTCACTCTGATGTTTGATGCCGTAACAAGGCTCCTGTTGATCTTTCATTATTTCTCTGTCATTCTTAAAAGACTTTTTCCTATTACTGCGATGTTGATTGGTGTTCTTCACCACATGACTCTGCTAAATCAAATAAAGAAAATTAATAGTCCCGTCATATCAATGTTATCATGCCATTAATGAAAACGTGCACTAACTTTTGAGGCCTTCAGATCATCGTGAACTGGTAAACATTTCCTGTTTAACTTCGAAACTTGATTTCTCTTTTGTTCCTTAATCAGTTTCAATTCTTCCTCAAGGGCTTGGGCTTTTGTCTGGAGCTCAACCTTCTCCTGTTCAAGCAGTTGTATGGTCTGTTGATGCTGCCTGTTTATTCTTTTGCTGTGACTGAGCTCAGTATCCTGAACACATCTTGTTTCTCTTGCCTTCAAGTCATTGTCCAACTGCACAAGTCTTTCTTCCAGGGATGCTCTAGTTCTCTTGCAGTCCTCCAACTCAGACGCAGCCTTCTCCAAGGCTAATATCTTTAGTCCTGATGACGTCTTCTCTGCCTTCAGATCTTCGCATAGTTCAGATGTTAGGCCCAATGAGGCTTCCAGTCTCTCTTTCTCAGAATTAGAAGCACTGAGCTCTTTCTTTAGAGCTATAATCTCATTTTCAAATTCATGGGTCTTCTGCAACTTAACCTTCAAATTTCCAGATTCGTCCATGATTTGTTGTCTTTCATATTCAGAGACTGTAAGTTTTAATTCAAGGGCATTTATAGTACTTTTAAGTTTTAGCTCTCTTGATTTGTGGTCCTCCGCCAAATTCAACAACTTTTCATGTTCAGACATCATCATTTCCATTTTGATTTTGTATTCAGCAAGCTGAGTTGTTAGGTCTTTCAGCTTTTGTTCATATTGAGTCTGCATCATCTCAACCTCATTCTTAGCCAAAACCACTTTAGACTGAGCTTCTTCTAAAGCAGATTCCAGTTTGGCTTTATCAGCACGTAATGTGGATACTTCAAGCAAAGCATTGGAAGCTATACTCTCTTTTTCATCATATGCTGCTGAAAGTTTTAAACTGAGCTTCTCAACTTCTAGTTCTAGGTTCTGAGTTTCTACCATCTTTTCCATTTGCATCTGATTCAACAAGACTTGACCCTGCTCAATATGTTTCCTGTTTTCATCAAAAAAATTATCTAAATCAGATGTTAAATGTTTCTCTTTTGATGCAATATCTTCTACCATCAAAGTTAATTTCTTTTCCAGGAGTTCCACTCTTTTAGAGCACTTAACAAATTTTTCATCTGACTCCCTCAACCTGTCTCCCACAAGGGAGCAATATTCCTCTAGCTTTAAGTTTTGCTGCCTCAAATCCCCATTTAGCTTCTCAAAAGAACTGCATTCTTCTTCAAGCTTCTCAGCAGTAATTTGTAACTTCTGATTTGCTCCTCTTAGATATTCACATTCTTCTTGTGCTTCTGACCAGCGAATTTGTGCTACCTTTAATTTTTGTTTGAAGTCTTCTGTTGAAGAATCTATCTCAGATTCCATCTCCATAATCTTCTCTTGAAACCTTGCAGCTTGAGATCTAGAGCTCTCTAGTTCTGATAAACAAAACTCTTGATCATTTGTCAAATCTCTCAATTGATCTTCTAAAACAGAAACGTGAATTGACAATTGTTGTTTTTCCTGTTCTATGTCTGATATGTGGAGCTCCAGTTCATGCTTATTTTCTTTTATCATGGCTTCCATGTGTTTCTCTAGTTGAATTTTTTCTTGTTCAAGACGATAAACCTTGGCTTTCAACTCGCTCAGTAGCTTCTGCTGAACCCCCATCTCCTTTTCTTTTTTTTATAAATTTGACTCAAGATTTTCTTTTTCAGATGTTTTTTCGTTCAAGACGATAAACCTTGGCTTTCAACTCGCTCAGTAGCTTCTGCTGAACCCCAATCTCCTTTTCTTTATATGATAAATTAGCCTCAAGATTTCCTATCACAGATGTTTTATCAGTTAGATCCTTATTCAAATCTGTGATTCGGACTTCTAGAGCTAATTTTGAACTCTCAAGCTCTTGAATTGAAAAATAATGATCATTACTACTCTTGATGTCGTTTTTCCCCTGGAGCGTGTCTTCTGAAGGGAATATTCGAAATAAATTGTTGCTTACCTCAGACCCAAAGCCAGTAGAGGATTGGTCTTTGAGCTTGTCTGTAAAAAGGTCTTCTTCACATGCACCACCATCTTTCGAATTTTTCTTTGCCTCTTTTAGCTTGAATAAAAGCTCAAGGTTTTCCTCTGTTAGCTCATTGCAGTCAATCTCAAGTTCTTCAACTTTCTCTTTCAGTACTTCGATTTCTCTCAAAAGATCTACATCAGCTAAATTTCTGGGCACTGTCTCAACAATACAATTTTCTGGGATAGATTCAAATAGCTTCGCTTTCAAACTTGAAATTTCTTTATCTTTATCATATAATTTGCTTTCATATTCCATTTCAATATCTGACAGGGTTTTGTTGTTTTGAATCTTCGCAGATTCAGTGTCTCGCATTTTGTCCTCTAAGGCCCCTTCCAGCTCTTGCACCTTCACCAGCAGATTTTTCTTTGATTCCTCTAATTGTTCTAGTTGTTGCTTTAAGCGCTTGTTTCCTTCTATACTTTGTTGAAAAGATTCCTCAAGATCACTGAACTTTGAGGGTAATGATGAAAGGTTTTCTATCTCAATTTTCTGCTGTTCTATGGTCTCTTCCAGTTCCTGGAGAACAGAAACAAACTCTACATTTGCTTCTTGGCTCCTCTTCAGTTGCAAAGACAAGTTGGCATTGGATTCCTTTTCAAATTTCAATTCCTCTTTTAGAGCATTCTCAATTTCTGGAATACATTCACCGTGAGATACTGAATCTTCCGATGCTTTCTGTCTCACTATTGGATCCTCAAATGACAATTTTAACTGTTCAACTTCTTTTTTCAAACTATCACGCTCTACCTGTGCTGCAGAAAGGTCCATTTCCATACCTTCCAATTTTTTGGATTGATCTGAGAATTCTGTCCTCAGCATGTCTAAATCACCCATTAGCTTCCGGGCATTCATCTCCCACATCTTTGCTTCTGCCCGTAACTCTTCACTTGTGTCCTCTGCAGCTTCCAGACGGTTGTTATAAGCGTTGGTCGTCTTAGAAGATAATGCACCAATGTCTTGCATTTTCTGGGAATTAAATGGTGAATTATTTGACTGAGAAGAATCATTCACAGGGTAATCGTGATGGGATACACTTTTCTGGGAACTGGTTGAATCTTGTCTTCCGATCGGGCTCTGCCCATCGCTGGTACATGGGGAGATATTTCCCCTTCCTGTGGAACCCTCGGTTGAGTTGTGGCTGCAGTTTGATACTGATCCAGAGAAGCTTGTTTCCTGCAGCCAAGGTGCAAATGCAACACGTTATTAGTATCATAAACGCAGGCCAACAGACAACAGTAAATTGCGTCACAACTCAAACATAAGCAAGCTGATGGCTCTACAACATAAAGAAATTCTTTTGCTTCCTGGACCGTGATAGAAGACAACTATGTACAGTGAATGATTTTTAAAGTACCCGTTAGGATGAAATGCGGTTATCATCTCCGCGCTTAAATCTCTCAAAAATAGTTATATTAATGTTTGCATACTAAAGGGTCAGAAAAAGCTAGTTAAAATTGGAATTGGTGGAAATGATGCAATGTCTTTTATGCAAAATTTTCCAGAAAAACCTTATGAATGCTGCTTCCTAATACATCAGGAGACCCTAAATCTTAACAAACAGTTAAACTAGAGAGTTGTTTGAGTCTGCAAAGCTCATTCGATAATTGATTATTATAGCAAGGAAAATGTTGTAATTTTACCCTAGTCTCAACTTCTCCGAGGGATAACATAGAGTCAAAATCTTCAACAGAGGAAGATTCAACACTCTGTACATTTGAACAATCAGATTCATTGGACTTGACAGCCTGATCATAATTATTTTCATTGATAGCCTTCAAATGGAAATTTGTCTCACTTGAATTTTGATCCCTGGAAAAAGTCTAGAAGGTCAACACTTACTAGAATAAATAACCATTATAATACGAAAAACTACCCTCCTATACAAACCTGAGTTTCGATCTTGGTGTAAGGCACTGAACAGTTACCTGCAAAATGCATAACCAATGAATTCCCAACTCTTAAGTTCAATGTTTTGCTGAAATAGCACTATTGTAATAATAGCGAATAGTTTGTCTCTATATTGGGAGAGGATAATAACAATGAATACTGCTTGAATGAGCAAAGATGAACCACAGAAATCGGGTTCTCAACAAGGTAGCGTAATGGGCAACAAATAAATTTTCATGTGGTAGTAGTATACTTATGGGATCGTAATTTCCATAAATAAGATTCAAGTCTCATACACCAATCAGCCGATTAAGGAAAGTTGAATAAAATTAAGTTGAAAAAACTCAAGACAGAGCCATCATTGTGTGTAAAGAGGAAAAAGAGATTTGTCACAAAGGAATAATGCATTTGCAAGGAGTAAAGAAACTAGTCATGATATACAAGACTACTTTATTAAATGAAATAGTAACATCACACTATCACAAGAAAAGAAAATCTGCGAGAAAGATTATTTCATACATTTTTAAGTATTAAAACCTTTATGTGTTAATTCAATTCCAGTCAGCAATATATTCCAGATTTCCAGTGCTATATTTTCTTTTAATTTGAGAAAAGTCAACTTTGAATCTAATCCAAAATACACATAACTATCCATGAAATGACAAAAGCAATCCCTTCTCACTTTCTGCAGTTGGTCACAAAATAGATATAACTTCAGTTGTGTGACTCACATGCAAAACTGTCCCATGGTTGCACTTATTCAGTGGGATTGAAAGTGGAATAGCAGCACCTGAACTCATATAGCTGGTCAAACTAACAGTAGCCTCTCCCAGGATGCCAGATCTTGACGACCCCTTAGTAATCCAAAACAGAAAAATTTTCAAGCTAATAAAGATAAAGGAATAGAAGAATAACAAAACGGTGTCAATAAAAGTAAAAGCAGTAGCAACAGTGATAACTATACCATGGCAACAATGAGCTTGAGGACGCCATCATCAATCCCCTTGGATAAACCATCTCTTGAAACCCATATAGATTCTGAAAAGGTATCTGACCATTGACAACCTCCATTACGCACTGGCACCTTGTTTGACTTTGCAATTGTTTTACCATTTTCTACGGAGACAACAGAAACAAACAGCTTGTCCCACCCCTTGGGTACCTACTAACATTAAAATCAGCATTTGTTATTGACTGAACCTGCCTTTTTCTTTATGGCCTCATACTAAAACATCACTTGAAACTTTAAAGAATTTGGATATAAAATTCTAAACGAACTTCGGCCGCAAATTATTAGAATGTTATAACAGTACCTTCTCCCCTTTAAGTGTTAACAAAAGTCATTTCATAATTTGGCTCTATTAATCCTTGAGACAAAACATACATGTATCATTGTTCTGCATTTCATGAGAACAGAAACCACAAAGCTAATGCAGCTAGATTCATAATTGAGACAAATACTATTAAAACATTCTCTAACACACTATTATTAGCTGAAATTTATTAAAAATTACAAAATTGTGCGCATATATCTCACTTCCTATGTCTTTTTTTGGGTCCATGATTGTGGTACTAACAGTATTTTAAAATTAACAACCAAGAACTAATCTATATTTGTGGAAGTTAACTTTCATTGATCAAACATTATTTTAAAAATGCCATGAATCAATCCCAAAGTCCCGAAAGCATGTCATATCTCACTTCTTATCTAATTTGCTCTTCTCATGATTTTGTAATTTCCAATAAAATTTAACAAATTATAGTGTTACTAGCAGTGCTCTCATAACAAAGCACCACGATTCTCAAACATGTTCTGAATCCGCGCGACGTTTCTCTTTTGAAAATACGAAGCACTTCATATAACAAATTTCTCATTTACCAGATTTTGTTATTTCCAAATTAGGATCTAAGATTCTGAGTTGCATTGCAACAACAAATTAATATCAGAGCGGAACAACAATCTGGAAGACGAAGCAGAATAAGCAACACGAAAACACAGAGAGAGAGAGAGAGAGTATACTATTGACATGGAGGAACACGTAGTAAAACGAAAGGAGAAAGGAGAGAGAGAAAAAGAGGAAACAGCGAGGAAGCGAACCTGAAGAGCCTTGAGATGAGAGATTCTGAACTCAATTTTGTCCCCTGATTTAGGAGCCCTGTGCTTATGCAACCTAAACATTCTCTCTCTCTCTCTCAATCTCTCCACTCTTCTCAGTGAGTCGTTTCTCTCTGTGCGTGAGTCACTCACTCGTTCCGAAGAATTACAGAAAGCGGCGACAGTGATGATTTCATGAGGTTCTCCGCAACCACCATCACCAACTGGCGAAAGAGACGGAGAGAGAGGGCGTTAGCTAAGTTGTCATTGTTGCCAAGGCTGTTATTTTATTACTATTATTCCTTGAAACGCATTGGTTTTGCGGGTGAACAAAAAGAAAGGGAGCGAGAGTGTGTGCGTGTGCGTGTGCGTGTGTGTGCGTAACATGCAGTCTAGTGAAAAAAGAAGGAAACGGCTACGACCCGTTTTAAAAGGTGTTGCTATAACAATATCAGAGGTTACATCTTGTGTTACCGCTACAACCACCCCAAGCACACTGCATCAGTAACAAACAAAAAATAAACAGCCTGTTCCTAAGGATAGTAATAATAATAATAATAGAATAATTTGAGATTCAACATTCGCCAATAATATACTACTTCAAAACTACCTATTCACATTTTATTTTTAATGATTCATTTATTTTTCTAGATATTAAGGTTCAACCAAGGATAATATAAAATAAATAAATTTTAAATTAAATAAACATGATTAGAGATGACAAAAAAAATTTATACAATATTTGTTGGGAATAATAAATAGATACTCGTGAATAACAAGTATATGTGTTTTTTTTACTTGTTTATAAATATGAATATCTATATAAATAAAATTATTTAAATATTCAAATTTTTTATCTTTATTTTTTTTATATTATTTTAATATTTTAAAAAAAATTAACATTAATTGCAAGTTTCAAAGTTAATTTCAATTATTTATATTTAATATTTCAATGTAATTAACATTAAATATAAGTTTAGATTTTTTTGTAATATATTTTTTATTTTATTAATTTTAAAAAAATTAAAAATATCTATAATAATTCACATGTATTTACAAAATTCACAAGTATCTATTTTACGGATACTTGTGCAGGTATAAAATGAATATAAGACAAATTATTATTCGATACAGTAAAGACAAATTATTATTAGTATCTTATTACCCATTTCACGAACTCCATTATCATTCTTAAATACAATAAAATAATTTTAATTAATCGACTAAACTTCTTATATGATAATTGTTGAAAAACAATATTCCCTTCACTTTACAAGGATTATAATTATAACATTAAAAAATATTTTTAAAAAATAATATTCTTATTTTTAACATAATATTAATTATTATTTTTTAATTTATTTTTCCTAAATTATTTAACCATCACAATTAAAAACAAACAAAAAATAAACAGCCTGTTCCTAAGGATAGTAATAATAATAATAATAGAATAATTTGAGATTCAACATTCGCCAATAATATACTACTTCAAAACTACCTATTCACATTTTATTTTTAATGATTCATTTATTTTTCTAGATATTAAGGTTCAACCAAGGATAATATAAAATAAATAAATTTTAAATTAAATAAACATGATTAGAGATGACAAAAAAAATTTATACAATATTTGTTGGGAATAATAAATAGATACTCGTGAATAACAAGTATATGTGTTTTTTTTACTTGTTTATAAATATGAATATCTATATAAATAAAATTATTTAAATATTCAAATTTTTTATCTTTATTTTTTTTATATTATTTTAATATTTTAAAAAAAATTAACATTAATTGCAAGTTTCAAAGTTAATTTCAATTATTTATATTTAATATTTCAATGTAATTAACATTAAATATAAGTTTAGATTTTTTTGTAATATATTTTTTATTTTATTAATTTTAAAAAAATTAAAAATATCTATAATAATTCACATGTATTTACAAAATTCACAAGTATCTATTTTACGGATACTTGTGCAGGTATAAAATGAATATAAGACAAATTATTATTCGATACAGTAAAGACAAATTATTATTAGTATCTTATTACCCATTTCACGAACTCCATTATCATTCTTAAATACAATAAAATAATTTTAATTAATCGACTAAACTTCTTATATGATAATTGTTGAAAAACAATATTCCCTTCACTTTACAAGGATTATAATTATAACATTAAAAAATATTTTTAAAAAATAATATTCTTATTTTTAACATAATATTAATTATTATTTTTTAATTTATTTTTCCTAAATTATTTAACCATCACAATTAAAAAAATTATATTTATTAATAAAATGAATTATTTTAATAAATTGTATTAAATAATAATATATTTATTGTCTTTTTTAATTTATGCGTACAATATTAAAATGTGGTTGTTTGATAAAATCTTTGCCTCGATGGCATGGTGCGTGTGATTTACATCGGGATTGGATCATTTATTGGGGTTGTAGAAAAGGGAACTGCAAATGTTTTGATACGAGACTAACATAAGTGGTCAAGAATATAATTATTCTCACAAAAATTCTTTGGTGCCAGAGGACTATGATAGGATAAAATTATAATTTTTTTTTCTATATAAACCTTTGTTGATAGTCATAGCATAACATGCTATGACGTTTTATCCGATAAATCAGGTACATTTTCCTGTTTTATGAGAATATTTTGCTACAACTTTGGATATACTCTAGCTCATGTACGACCCTTGCACCTTCGTGCAAGGGATACGAAATGTTTATGTGTGAGGAACCGTATTCAATTCAGTTTTTTTCTCCATCTAATTAATATAAATACATAACGAGAATTTGAATTCAAAATTATTAATTAAGCGCTGAAATAACTTCGTATCAACTACTTCATTTATCATTGTATGTATATTCAATTAAATATTTTTTTTAATCCATAAAAACTGAACACAATATAAAAGGGTTTCACAAAACTCCCATATATTATTCAACCACTGAGTTAGGTATCTTATGTAACTAAGATATTAGTATTTGTTTTATATTAAATAAATAAATAAATAAATGTATCTATTCATTTATATAAATTTTTGTCTTTTGGGTGGCGTGGTTGGCTGAAAGGTTGATAATTATCAGTAACTGGCCCCAAGGGATGTGTGAAAGTAGGTGATAGTAAGAAAAGAATTTCACCATTCTTTTTCCATCAATTGACGTTATAGGAGACAAGACCCGGGTTTAGTGGTTAGTTCGGGCAGAATTATGTGGTAGGTCTGCTTAGGGTCCAATGTAGTTTGGACATGGAACACTTACTAGTCACCCATCACCAACTCTCCTCATAAATAAGCAACTTTTGTTTCTCTTAATTATTATTTAAACACAGTTTCAATTTTTAAATTTGTTTGTTGAATTCATTGCACTGTTGTGTGTTTTTACTTGATTATACTGTGTACTTGTCTCGTGGATACGAACACGACATGCCAAAATGGAGTGAAACGCAAGGCAAGTAATTATGGATGGCGGATGCATGAGACCCGAGCTTAAGCCCAAAACTATATCCCACTTAGCAGTTGTGATAAGATGATATGATGGTATGGAAGGAACGAAAGAAAACAATCATTTAGATCTAACAAAATTAGTCAAGTCTTTCATTCAAGCCAATGCTTAATTTTGAAAAAGAAATGATATTTGTTTCATAAATAGTATAATAATTCTATATAACATTTTTTTTATGTATATTTCTTTATCATATTTGTTTTGGTAAAAGAACTCTAATAAGATAATTTAGTGATTATCTTAACCCAAAATATTTAAGTGAGTGTAATCTAATTTTAACATGTGCTCCTTCCTATATATTTAACTTAAAGTTCTTATCAAAATCTCTTATTCTTTGTCTTTGAATACATATGTCAACATCATATTCGAATCTTGATATTTCTCATTATTTAATGTGCATCATTAATATTATGTAATTTCGTAAATTGTGGTATCTTCTTTATGCCTTAGAATATGTCATCCTAAGAACGAGATATACAAGAAATTTGTTGAATGAGTGTGTGAACGATCTACTTTATATAATTGTTTATAAAAATATTATTTATATAATACACAACTCTAAAGATTTGAATACATAAGCATGAAGAGTCTAATAATTGGGAGTTCGTGAGATCGATATTTGAACGAATTTTCTTGTATATCTCGTTCTTATGATATTATATATTATATATTATGTTTATTAATAATAAAGAGATGTACAAAACAAATAAATAATATTTTACAACTTGTATGAATTGCTTTAATGTTCAAAATGTCTTGGAAACTAATACGTCAGTGTATAATGATTGGGCTTTTAGAAAGTTTTGTTGTATGAAATTCATTAAATGAAAAACGGGTTCGTAAAATGGTGGTTAGCCATATTGATTATGAAGGATAACAAATCGAAATTCGTTCAAAATTTAAAAAGTAAATGATTTATTAGTGTTGTGTGTATGATCACCCAAAAAGAAAAATCATCACCAAAAAATGACAAAACCCAAAACTATGGAAGCTAATCGGCACTATTTTTATGTTTTTTTTTCTAATTTATTTTTAATTACAAAATAAGAAAAATATCAAATGAAGTTTACTTTAAAAAAAAGTACATCAATATTGGAAATTTAATTTATTCTTAAAATGTAAGTTTTTTTGGTGTTGTGGAAAAAATAAAGGACAAAAAACAAGAAAGAAATGAAATTAATGTAGGGAACAGAGATCCTCCCTGTACACTTGAAACACAAAATTTGGAGGACTCCTCCATGTTACATGTTAAGTCCCTAGTCTAGCTCCCTAACTTGCAAGAACATGAGCTACTTGATTAATCTTTCTCGGGATCCTAGTAAATACAACTCGTCAATCTTTCTCCACCAAATCTTTGATATTATTGATTATATCTCTATGTTTTATGAACAAGATTCCTCTCCCAAATAGCACGTTCAATCTCAGATATCGTATCAATACAATCTGCCTCGCATACCATTTGTTTGTAACCAAAATTCCAGCAAAAAGATAATCCTTCCTTTATAGCCAAAAGTTCAGCTCGTAAAGGATCACCCCCTATTTCTGAACTGGCAAAACCACCAAGCCATCTCCCTACACTATCTCGAATAACCCCTCCAAACCCCATCCTATTCTGACCCTCCAACCAGCTACCATCAATATTTACTTTAATCCCTGGATAATCTGATGGGGACCAGCATGTGTTTTCCAACCATATTTTCCTAGAATTAAGCCACCAATTCAATTCAGCAAGGGAAACATGCACTTTCCTTAGCACCAAAAGCATTGACCAACACGGACCTTGAAAAACCATATTGTTTCTATACCTCCATATCCACCAACTGGCCATGGCCAACTTGACAGCCTTAGAATGCATAATGATGTCTTTGAACCATACAATGCTCTCGGAGCTGGTGAATAGATGAGGTGGAGTATTTTCTAACCGAAACTTGATTTCATGGGAATGTGGGCAATCTCGAAGTGCATGAAGGATTGTCTCTTGTCCACCTGAACAACGAGCACAAAGGTCAGTCTCTCCCAACCATCTCGAGTAGCGAAACATGTTCGTAGGTAAGGCTGAATGCAATCCTAACCAGAGAAAAAATTTTACTTTTTCTGGAATGTGTAGCTGTCACACTTTCTTCCAAATAGGATTGTTCAATCTGGTGCCCTCTGCACTAAGAAATCTAAATCCTAATGCAGCTGAATAACATCCCGAAGGGTCTCCCGTCCAAGTGAATGAGTCTACCCCAACTCTAGACAAAGGCATATCAAGTTGTTGAAAAGACATCAGCCACTCATTCGGGATAGTAGTGTGAAGGAAGCCAAAATCCCATGTTCCAAGTTGCCAACAATCTGCCACTGTAGCAATAGAATCACTGATGTGGATCACTGGAACCTGAGCTCCGATTTTACCCATTCCAGACCAGTCGTCAAACCACAATGATGAGTGACCAGACCCAAACCTTGGATGAAACCCCTCACGGATGAAAGGAAGTGCCTTAACTATACTCCTCCAAACTGGTGAAGCGCCTGACTTACTGCCTGCATGGAGAACTGACTCACCATTCAAATATTTGGCACGAACAAAACTAACCCAAGGTTTGTAGTGGGAGTGGATGAGATCCCATATCAACTTCCCAAGGAACGAGATATTCATATGTCAAGCCTCTCGTACTCCTAGTCCTCCCATCTCTAGAGGTTTTGAAATCGTATTCCACCCAACCAAAGACCAGTAGTAAGTTTAAACCTAATTCAACCATATAATAGTAATAATAATAAAAAGTAAAATGAATCTATTAAAAAGAAATGAAAAAATAGAAGCCTATTTTTGTTATTACTATTATATGGTTTTTTGACGTTTCAAAATATTTTAGTTTATTGAAAATGAATAAAAACATTATTCAGTAAACACACATTAATTATCAAGGCTAAAAATGAAAAACAAAATTAATAAGCCATTAATTTTAGAAAAGTGACAATGAAAAAAATATAAAAAAAATAATATCAAAATGACTATGAAAAAAAAAATGGAAGAAATACATATTTACTGGATAACTTGTGTATTAACTAACAAAAGTGAGAAAATCTTCGAAGGAATTTGACAAGCTGGTAGTTATAGACAACTTTACAGCTCATGAGAAGATGAACTGAGAGCTAACTATTTCAACCGTCGGCTCAGTTTCATGTACAAGCCCTGCAAAAACAAAATCCTATTAGTAGGCAGTGAAAAATACTGACTAAATGTAAGTGAAGCGTTTCTTTTCCTTTTTACTTAAAAATCAGGTTAATGAAAGTAAGGAAATTAAAATATTTTCTTCCTCTTTTAAACAAAAGTAAAGAAAAATGAGGCTTGAGAAGACTTAAAGAATATAGCATTTCCTTTTGCTCTCGTTCCCCTCTTGCAAACATTGAGATTTGCAAAGCAAAACAAGTCACTTGTAGAAACTCATTTCAAAGACACGAATAGATAACTTTACATTTGTCGTGTGTATTGTTGCTCCTGTAGTCATACTGATAGTCTGATCAGGAACCAGTTCGAAGTTCATGTGCTGTAGAAAGATTGCAAGAGCAACTATAGCTTCCAATAAAGCAAACTGGTCACCAACACACTTGCGGGGCCCTCCACTGAAGGGAATGAATCTGTAACATGTGACTCAAAATCTGAGCAAATTTTGATGTACAATAAAAAATATTTCACAAAAGAGACAATCAGAATGAACCATCCTTCTCCCAACACAAGAAAAATCTAAAAGGGACACGGCACACCGATGCAATTTAGCAGGAAAATATGACACTCAATAGGGAGGGGCAGAAGGGAAAGGAAGAGCCACCAGCAAGTAAGGCACATGTGACTAGCTACCACAGTGGAGGTGAAATTTATGTCACTTATGTGGAGTGCACTAATTATTACTCTAACAAAAATGCACACCTGAAATCTGTATTTGTTTCATTTGGCACTGGACCATCCAAATCAAATCTTTCTGGCACAAACTCTTCAGCCCTGTCCCAAACCTTGCAAAATTTTAATGAAATTGATAAAATAGATCAAAATAGTGAATTTAAAAAGCATACAACTCCAACAAAGAAATAGTGTGTGCATCATCGCATTATATTTCAATACACATGGATAGAACCTTGCAATTGCAAAAAGGTAGAAGTGTTTGTGTAATATAAATAATGAAGAATTTAATCAAAGCAACTGCTAATTGGGGTGGGGGGGTATCATGAATTGAACAGCAATCATAAAAGCTAATTGCTTTTAATGATACTATTATTTCTATGCTGAAAACTGTAACAGAAAAGGAGGACAACTTTTTATGCTCTCTAAAATCAAACTTATTTTGTCATCCAGAGTATTATTTTTCATTCTTTTTCTCCTCCCTCCCATCCATCAAAATAGTAAGGGATAAACAAGATAAGGAAAGATTCTTTTTGAAATGGAAGCGAAGAGGTTCTAGCCATTTTAAATTATTCAACTAAAAAACAAATAAAAATAATATTAAAAGGTTCTAAGCTGTCTTCACAGGTTTAGTAACAAAATAGTTCGAAGTTGTGGTTACCGTAATAAAACAGGTAGTTGACCATGGCACAATTCAGCTACTTCAAGGAGGGTTCATATAAAGAATAAAGATGAACAAAAACAGAACAGTAGGGAAGCATTCATTTAAAAGGTTTGTCACACAGTAGACCATAATAAGTTAAAGAATGAAGGTGAATAATAGGCCATAGTAAAATAAACTTTAAGGCAGATTATAAAACAAAGAATCTTCTATGCTGATTACTCAACCAACCAGTACTGGACAAGACTAACTACTATGATTAAAAAATTCCACTACCAAATTTTGTAGCAAAAGTATAGAAAGTTGGCTACGTTGAGAGTGAGAAGCTGCATTTGACCCACTAAAGGAAGTAATTTTCATTTGAAAACATCAAGTAATACCTCAGAAGAACGGTGTATGTTGTATACAGAAATCATAATATCTTGACCAGCATTGACTTTGTAAGCGCCAGGAAGCTCATCAGGAACTTGAGCTCTTCTTATCAATACCTTAAGGATGCATAAGGTTATACATGAACAACAGAAATTGTAGCAATAGCGAGAGAAATTTGACAATGCCAGCTCCAATAAAGCATATTTCAGAAGAAAAAAAGACATACAGCTGTGAACTTAAACTATTTACAGACATTTTAATGATAGGAGAGCAAGTAACATACTATGTAACACACTCATTTCAAAGAAGTGTTTACTTAAATGAAAATTAAGTTTTCTGTTTGACCTAAGATTTCTCCTGAACACCGATTACTGTGAGGAAATTAAGACATGTCATCAAATAATACTAACAAATGACATAGTTTCATCATCTGCAATGGGGGTTGCTTATAAGCAACTCCCTGTGCCACATCACTGCCACATCAGCTCTGGCCCATTTTATGGGTTGCTTAAATTTTAGCAAAGTTGTTTGTAGAAGCAACTTTGCTAAAATTTAAGCAACCCATAAAGTGGGCCAGAGCTAATGTGGCAGTGATGTGGCACAGGAGGTTGCTTATAAGCAACTCCCATTGGAGATGCTCTAACATTTCCAAATCTTTTCTTTCTTTAGCACCGAGAGACCTTTTATAATTTATTTAGCCTCCTTCTATGTGAGACCTAAGAAAATTGGGTTTTGTTGAATGTAAAGGGGCAGGAAGAAAGCGAAAGTGAGAGAAAATAATCTAGAGTTAGAGAATGGACAAACTTTCTAATTAATTATTCTTGAGTACATAGATTATGCATGACATCCATATATATAGGGTCATAATAGAGTTGGTGGGTTTTATTTCCTAGGTTAATAATAAGAGGAGTGCTAGCAACACTATCACATTCCTTGTAACATACTCTTTATTATTACTTAAAATTTATTGAAAATTACAAAATCATAAATAGAGTTCATTAAATAAACAGTGAGACCTACAAACTATGAAGCCCATATACGCCAAAAATGGAAAAGGATCGGTGTCGTACCCATATCAGACACTTATACGGCTTGGATACGCTAGGGTATCCAAGGAGTATCTGATTATTTTTTATTTGTGTTTTTTTTTTTTTAAATTATTGGATACGGCTCATAATGTCTGGATATGACTTTATAACATATGATACGGCTTGGATACGTTATTTTATCCAAATGTTAGCTTTATTAATATTTTAAATTTTGACTTTTAGTTTTAAAATTTTTAAACCAGAAAAACCTTTTATAAGTTAATATCCATACTCTACAAAGACACATTTCTCTCTTTTTTTACCAATATTTTATATTTATATAAAATTTTCTATTTTTTTAACATATCTGTAACATATCGTATCCTTAATTTAAAAAAGAAAAATCATATCTCCGTATCCATGTCGTATCGTACGGTGTCGTACTAAGTATCTAGGCTTCATAACCTACATAACCTACAAAATTATGATTTTCAATAAATTTCAATCAATAATAGTGTGTCTGAGTATATATTGTTAGCATTTCTTTAATATTAATTGAATGTAACTTCCTAGTCCGAGACATGAGTACTAATCGCATTTTATCATGTGAGACATGAACCCACTATTTCCTAAGTACTATTATTTACAACACTCCCTCTCAAGCTTACAACACTTTAAGCTTATTGCATATAAACATTTTTTTAAAAATAATATTAACTCCAACAAACATGGCTGTAAAAGAAACAAAGGGCTTGATTAGACCAGAAAAAGGACTAAAGGGACACAGAATACTCTAACAACAGTAGGAGATTGATGCATCTGGAAATAGACACGGCTGGAACCTGGAAGTTGATGCAGCTGACATTGGAGAGATTGTGGTTAACCTGTGACCGCATAAAATTGGGGCTATACTGCATTTGCTGGGAAGGCTGCAAGGCCAGCCACCTTTCACCTTACAGCTCCTTAATGTAATGACAGAAAAATGAAGCCCCAAAAAGGAGCCAAACAGCCATGGGACATACAAATAAGTGAAAAGTGGAAAATTGGACAGAAATAAGCTCCAAATGCACTCTAGGATGCTCCAAATAGGTTAGGGTTTTCAGATCCAACACTTGAACCAATGAAACACAGACAAATGTCAAAATGAACACTGAACCGGCTGAAAGCAGTGGCCCATTCAGCGTCATAGATAGATATGAACTAGGAGGTTTGTATATACTAATTTTCAAATCCATTGTCTAAAAACAAGTCATATTAACCCTTGAAAGAGGTCCAGAAGAGCCACAACAGGTAGCATGAGAAGTGTTTGACAGTTTGAGATCCCTGGAACGAGGATTTGGTGCATAAGAATTGACTGGGCAGCAATAACGGTAATGAAAAGTGGGGAAGATAAGATGGCTACTTGGAATAAAAGAGGAAAAGCTACTGAAAAACAGAACAGTTCCATGATTTTGGGATGTGGCAGCAGAATTGTGACGAAGCCACAGGCTTTCAGAAACTTCAACAATCAAGATCATTATATCACCAATTTTTCAATTTTCCTCTCAACCCACTTGTCATATGACTCATATCATTAGTCTTAAAGTTTAACAATCAATTTTGTAAGCCATCATGCTAACTAATTTTCATAACAAGCATAAACTATCACAAGTGTTAGACCTTTCAAAAAAAAAGATGATACAAAAGTTTTCCGTCTCAAATAGATGTTCGTACAATAAATTACTATATTGAGAATTTGAGACACATTGCAACCTACCGGAGGATGTGGATAGAGTCGGAGTGATTCCATAATGCAGCGTGTCAAGAACTTAAGATCTTTAATATCTTCATAGGCAGGACGCCTTCCCTGCAAAACTCTGTCTATCTCTTCTTGTGCTTTTGCCAATGAGGAAGAATCCTGCATAAATAGAGTTCATAATTTGAGGGGGCAAAGATCATGGCGGAGCTCGTCATTTTTTCTCAATGCTAACAATAGTTCGTTATAACACATATATAGAGACATACTAAATTGAATAAATTCAAAATAACAATCAATAAATGTTCACAAAGTCCTTAAATCATGTTGAAAGCTGAAACAAATAATTAGATGGTTATGAGACCACTGAACAATGCTTTTGGTGTTCATATCTTGAGTAAATTATATTAACCCCATGAGGTTTCAGTAAATATCTTCTAATAACCCCCTTTTTTACCCCTATCCTAGACCTCCTTAATCTATGAAAAACATTACACCGACACTCCTGTTGCTCAAGAAACACATTGCAGTCAATTCATAAAGTTGGGGGAGAGGGTGATGAAGATGTTATCTGCAAGGAAAGAAATAAAGTGAAATGATACCTTGCTTAGAAGATAAAGTGTCCAGGTCAGCACTGAACCAGTGGTCTCATGACCAGCAACTAATAGTGACAAAAGATCATCCCTTAGTTGCACACTGGAAACCTACATGTAAAACCATCAACTAAAAATAAACATGGAGAACAGAAATCCAGAGAAAAAAGTTCCCCATACTATAAATGTAAATTATACAAGGTTGTGATGATCAATGACCCAGAAAAAGAACAGAAAGTGTCATAATCAAGTGATATGGCATGTTTTAAGAAGTAGTGGTAGTGCAGACCTTCATATTTGGGAGTGTAACTAAATGACGCAGATAAACTCAATGATTGAGCAACAAGCACAACCATACAAAAAGAACATGAAAATTATCCACCATTTATCTCCTAATTGAATATTTCCACAATCAGAAGTCCAGAAATCAGAAAATATTAAGATGGTTCAAAACTTTTTAAAAAGTAACATAATGAACAAGAAAAAATATGGCAAGAGATAAACATTCTTAAGTAAATAACAAAGAATTACAGGATGACATTTGCTTGACTATGTTTTGATCAATCAACATTACAGCCTAAACTAACTTGAAGTCTTGAACATGGTGATCAGCAATGACAAACAATCATTAATGCACCCATAAAATCAATACACTACTCATCGCTTCATCTATACCACTGCCTGTTAACATTTCTAGAAGGAATCAATAGATATATAATCAGTGGGAAAAGGAAACTTCATACTTCGTTTAATTCATATCAAGTATCTATTATTATACATTTAGAGCATACAGCAAGCCTCACAAGAACACTGATAAAAACATGGTATATGTCAGTAACAAAATACAGGAATACAGCAAACCTCTTCTCTGCTGGCAAGCAAAAACCGGAGGATACTAGGATCGGTGTCATTCACGTATTCCTCACTATCAATTCTTTCACCCTCAGATTCTACAATCTCTCTACATTTTTCAATAAGATCCTCAACATTTTTCCTGATAATGGTAACAGCCTCTTCAGCCTTTATTTGTCTTGGAATTATCTTACAAAGAAATTTAAACTGCAACAACAAGAACAGAGAAAAATATATATACACATGACATAACGAACAAGGAAACGAATTCCATGCCATGAATGTAAGATTCGAAAGAACTTGCCTTCCAATATGGTAAAAGATCGGTTGATCGTGCTTCTGCCTCTTTCAATGCAGTATAAACAGCCTCGATAACAGGACTGTCCGCATTGAGCGAGTCAAAGTTATAGTTAAATACAGATAAACCAATAACATCAAGAGTCAACTGTGAAAACTTCTCCTCCATGTTAACTGCAGTTCCATTGAGTGCATCAGGTTGTAGCTTCTCCACTAATCTCTCAGCACATCTACAAAACACCCTATCCACTATAACAGACAAGTAACGTTTGTGAAGCGATGGAACCACAGCCCGGCGCCTTGCCTAATACAGATCACAAAACAGTTGTAACAAAGAACCTATTGCCCAAAATAATGTATATAGATCACAAAACAGTTGTAACAAAGAACCTATTGCCCCAAATAATGTATAAAATCATGTCAAAAAGCTACCAATTTAATCATATATGAGTAAATAATATCTACTCCTATAGTTCCATACTATGCATTAGAATATATAACTTGGAGAATGAGAATCCCACTCTTCCACTCTCTCTATTATACATTTTCAATATTATCTTTTTTTTTTTTTTATCTCCTTTAAATTTGAATTTCACATACTACTCTCGCAATTAGTTAATTAATTTCCCTGGCAAATTATTATCCTATACTTGATCTACTTGATCACCATTCACCTATTGCTTTCAATCTCCTCTCTTTTATTTTAACCTCCAAAATTGAATTTCAATAGTTTTTTAAAGATATTGTCAATAATTAAAAATAATATTATATGACAATTTAAATTCAATGTAAAGCTTTGGGACAACTGTAAATTCAAAATAAAGCTTATATCTTCAAAAAATATTAATTTAAGAATTTTAATTATAATGTAATTTATATGTTAAAATTATTTATTTATTATGAACTTTAATTATTTAAAAATAGAGTAAGTAATGTTTATCCCGGCGATGTAAAGGACTTTTTACAATATCATCACTAACCGTGATAGAAATTACTCCATGAAGTCCCTTTTCATAAAACTCAATTACTTAATTTATTATGAATAAGGAAGAAGTGGATTAATTTAGTTGATAACATTAAATTTGTCGCAAATTTATATTTTTTTTCCTAACACTATCCCCAAAATAGATGAGACAACTACTGGTTGAATTAAGAGAAATGTATTAATTAAGAATATTTCTTGTCAAAAAAAATTAATACAAAATACATTTTAGATTATAAAAAGTAAACAACACTTCTGATTTGAGCCATGTAAAAAGGACCGATGGAGTAATATATTAAATTGGAAAAACAAATTTGTCTCTGCAAGTCACTAGATAACATAAAGCCTGATTAGATACAAGTTAGAAGTGTTTTTTTAGTGTTTTTCTACCGAAAATAAAGAGTATTTTCTAGTAAAGAAACTCTTAGGAGTGCTTCTAAACTTATATTCAAAGATGCTTCTAAGCTTGTATCTCGACGGAATCATACAGTTATAGACAATGAGACCACAAAAGTGGCTTCAAGAAAGAAAATGTAGGTAAGGGCACAACAATTCCCATTCTCAAAATTAAAAAACACAATTGAAAGAATGTTGAAAAAGGCGAGCATTACCGTCCAGAGAGGACCTTCGGCAATGGCGAATCCCGAGCCAAACAAAAACTCGGAGACCTCGGCAACGAGGCCCTTGGCGTACTTGGCGTAGTTCCGGAGCACGTGTTTGGCGATGGCAGGGTCGCTAACGACGACGAAGTTTCGGGGGCCAGCGGCGAGGCGGTAGATGGGGCCGTAGTCCTGCATCCACTTGAAGAGGGGGAGGAAGAGCGCGCCGCCGAGGAGGTCGGAGACGTCGTCGAGCTTGGCGGCGGCGAGGGGGATGCCGGAGTCGTCTTTGCCGGCGGTGAGGGAGCGGGAGAGGGAGGTGAGCCAGTCGGGGCTGACCCAGGAAGTGGACTTGGTTGCGGTGTCGGGGTTTTTGTTGACGGAGGATTGGACGGAGAAACGGTGGAGAAGTGGATAAGGTTTTGGATTGCGGTGAGGGAAGAGAGAGAAGGGCGCGAGAGAGGCTGAGAGAGAGAGTGACGAAGCCATTGTTTGAGGATTGGCTCGTGAGGGAAGTTTTCCAGTTCGACTAACGGTGGGGGAACCCCGAACCACCCGTCACTCACTCACTCAACTAACTATTTGCTTAGCCTTTTATTTTTCTCTTTATCCATTAAAATGTCTTTTTTTTATACTCTAGACTTTTTAATTATTAGTCAAAATTTATTAAAAGAATTACAAGTTGTTGGAAATATATAGAGCTAGAATTGCCGAGAACGTGGCGACTTATTATTAGAAAAAATTTCTATGATGGGCTATGCAACGGAACTGCAAAATTAGAGAAATGGTTGATGCTTTAGTGGCTTATAACAATTTTTTTTCCTTTTGAATTCTTAATATATTTTTAGATTCCTCAATACCACAAAATGGTTGAAACAGTGTTTTAAAAAATCGGCTCGTACGTACCAGTTGGACCTAGAACATGTGATCTAACCGGTTTGAATCTATCATTTTTGGTCGAATATGTCATCTATCCAATGCGAACTAACCGGTTTTTTAATGAACCAATGAACTAGTAAGCTATAACTTGAGACCATTTTATTTTATTTTTTTAAAACGTTTGAAATTCAAATCTGCGTTCCATGTGCACTTTCCCATATATTAAACACTGTTAGGCTGATACTTGTCACTTTGTTGTTGCACTGTGTATTTTCCCATGTATAATGTATTCATGGTGGTTGTCGTGCTTTCCAATGCTCTCCTTTGGATTGGCTTTCTTAGGATACAGCAAAAAATTTTCAACGTTGCTTACTCGTAAAACCTACGTCTAAATGACCCATGTTCATGAGCGAACTTCACCACTATTGCTAGCTTCTTAGAAAACTTACAAATGGGATTAGATTATTGTAGTTCCTCTTCCAAGTTTCTTGGCGGATCTTTTCTAATTGATCTCCTCCTAACTTTTTTAATAGTTTTCAAAGGTGTTACAAGCCATCTTTAAACATACTTGAAAAGATAAAGAGTCTCCTTAAAGACATTACACTCATGGAGTGATAAGTCCCTCTAAATCTTATTACACTCGAGAGGATAAGAGAAATGAAACAAATTTCAATGAGAGAAACAAACTTTGACAAAGAATTAGGAAAAATGTATCTAATTCATTAATACTTAAAGTTTAAGTTCGATTAATACAAAGAAATCTTATATATAAAAGTTTGGTTGACTTATGATGCAAGTTAGACTAACCATGATCAAATATAACAATGATTAGTTATCTTGTACTTAAGTTAACTAATCCTAATTAACTTTCTACATGTCTAATTAGTTATCCAGAAGCTTATAGATCAAACTAAACTAATCATAATTTAAAAATAACTTAAATTAGCTTAAATTAACTTCAACTATCTAAGTTAATTATTACAATTATTAAACTAACGATTACTTTGAATAGTTTGTTGAGATGTCACTATCAAGGTCATGTGACTTATTTAACAAGCTTGGATGGCTTGTTCATTAAACTTGGATGGCTTGTTCATTAAGTTTAGACGTTCAAATCACTTGCTTAGGCAAGTGGATGTCCAACCTTAATGGGTTAGAAAAATGTTTTGGTCATCTAAGCCCAAATAAGTTTATTGCATAAGCTAGTTATATCTCCTCTAAACTACTAATTATATCTTAAAGCAAAGTATAAGTACAAAAATTTCTATATTACTTGATCCAAAATACATAACCAAAAATATCATATACAATCACTACTAAAAATGTAAAACAACAATAAGAACTTTTAAAATAAGATAGACTTCCAAATATTAGGTACCCTGAAATAAGAGTAAATATCCTATAATTCTTTAAATAATTTTTATCATCCTTCACCCATCTCGATTCTTTTTCTTTCAATAGAATCCTTGGAAAGTTACCTATATTACAAGTTGGTATATAAATCATTATTCAAAAGGGATGTCTCAGATCGAAGGGGGTTAGGGAGGCCGCGACGAGCTTTTCCTTGAAGTCTTGGAGTTGGAGGGCCTTTTTCGTTGTGGATGAAGACTGCGTGTTCTAGAAAGATATATGGCAGGAGAAGATGAAAATTACAAAAATAAAATAATATATATATATATATATATATATATAATGTATTATTTATTATCAATAAAATTACATCACAATCAATATCAACAATTGATAAATTAAAATAAATAAAATAAAAACGTAGAAAAGATTAAATTTAAGCAAGTTAAACGATATATTCTAAGAGAAAAAACGTTTTACTGATAAATTAATTAATAATACATTTCTCTCTAAAGATATGACAATTCTTTAGATTAATTATGTGCAATGAGATTTCTCTGAATAAAAAACATCACTACAAAATATACCTTTAATAATAATAGAAATATTTCTCGGGAGATGTATAGTTTTCCTGGTTCTTTTGACTGTTATTTATTTTCTCCCAAACAGAAGAATATATAGACATAATGTTGCAGTAACAGAAAAACCAACGTGTACGATTACCACAAAATCAGCACCGCATGTTCCAAGTAAATGTGACCAAGTCAATAAAATTTAATACAAACTAAATCAATGCAATTTAACTTACAACAGGGAGTAAATCTTCTAATGTTCAAAAGCATTAATAAAGCATAATTTATAATAAATTAAATGTAAAACTTGGTCAAAATCGTTAAAAGATTAATTAAATGAAACATTTAAATAAAAAGTGAATAAAATATATTTAATTTAAATTTTATTATAATAAATTTTTTCAACCATCTCTCGCTAATTTGAAATTTAAATAAAGAATAAAAATATATGAAAACCTTAAAAAATAATTTTTAATTGAGCGTGACATATTATTTTTTCAATACAATAAACCTTCTAGGTTTGAGTCTTATATCTACTGTATATCAACTCTTGAGAAAAATATGAAGACTTGATTGTCTTAAATCATATTCCCTTTAATCAAACTTTTAAACATAACATAAATAATATAGGTGTTTATTTTGAATTTAATCAGCATATGTGTTATAATATTGTGCAAATATTTTCTTTTAGAAATGTCACTTATGTCTTGTTTAGTAGAGAAGAAATGGGTAAGAAATAGAATAGAGAGAGTGAAAATAAGTGAGGTTGTTTGGTTAAGAAAAAATAGAGTGGAGAGAAATTTAAAGATGATAGATCCCACCTTCTTATTTATTTTTATTTATTTACTTTTCTCCCATATTTCTTATATATACCTTATTTCTCACTCCTTTCTCACTATTTCTTTTCAACCAAACAACTAAATTTTTACTCTATTTTTGACTTATTTCTCTTCACTTTTTATTTCTCTCCACTCTATTTCTCACCTATTTGTTTTCTCTCTACCAAACACAAGCTTAGAGATTTGCCCATATCTCACATTGGTGATCCCACCACCACACTCACTAGGTGAAACTTTTAAAAGTGACCTATAATTGTCACCCCCATAACTATTATCATTAAGTTATTAAAGGTATTTTAATTTTAACATAATAAATACAAATATTTGAATATCTCAACCTTATAATTGTTGTAGTTTAAAAAATACACCTCATCATAGGAATAGGAATAAGAACAGGAACATCTTCGTATAATAAATATTATTTTGGTGTACTTTAACCAACAAATAATTTCATTGTTACCCATTAAACTTCATTCATAGGATTGTCATCAAAGTGTTTGTCATTGTGACTAAATTAATAGACTTTAATCTTATTTCCCTCGACGATTTGGTATGTGTTGACACATTTTTTTTTCTTTATAAGTAGATTCGCAAAATTTCCTCTCAATAACAATTTCATTCTCCATGAGACAGTTTTTGTCACTAGTATAGCATCAAGCTCAATCATGACTTTGATAAGAACACATTTGAAGGGTAATGAAGATAATTGTGCTAAAACATACTCATTTAAAAATCAAAATTATTAAGCAAAATGAAGTGAGATATAAGAGGATAAATAATAATAATAACAATAATTTGCAAGAGTTTTTTTTTTTCCAAAGATCAAACTCATTATGTACTCTTTCCTACATTACATAGTGGTGAGTGCATGCGTTTCTATCTTGTTGTAGAATTTAGAAGTGGACTCTTGTCAACTCTACTCTGGATTGGAGTAATAAGATGCTTTCATCTCCACATTTCACACAATTGCACAATTTCTTGGCTTCTCCAAGACAATTTATTGTCTTTATATAACCATTATCTAGTGTACGTCCTCTACCATATCAAAACAAAGTTCATCAGATTATAATCAATTCATATTATTGACATCTAAAGTAAATTTTTATTTTCATGATGAATATTTTTTTTATAAAAATATTCTAATTAATTAAGAATCAAGTTTTCTCTCTATGATTGTTAGAACCATGGAAATAGGAAAATTATAATGTATTATTTATCAATGAAATTACATCAAGATAAACATTAGTAATTGATAAATTAAAATAACAAAAACTAAAACAAATAAGACAAAAAGCTTAGAAAACATAGGGTTGAAGCACGCTAAACATTATCCTTAAAGATAAAATGTCTTACTATTCTGATAGATTAATTTGTAATGAACTTCTTTCTCAAGATATGACAACCTATTAGATTAATCATCTAGTGTAGGATCCTTGAAACAAAGAACATCGCTCTAAAATATACTTCTAATAATAAAAGATGTTAGAACAAAAGATGATATTGGATCCCTTAGAATATCAATTTTAATGTTAACAAACTTAGACGTTTGTCAGAGAAAAGTTCTTCAAATCATACTATAAGATGAATTAGAATAGACAATTGGTTATGATGATATGTAATTTCTCAAATAAACTATTTTGCCTATAAGACAAATGCATTTAATATATATCATTTATGATGTTTAATAACCAAATTATATTTGTGTGTGTGTTATTCCTAGAATAAAAAGCTTTTTCGATACTCATACTTCAAAAAGGAAAAAAGACATATTTTATGTCAAAGAAAGGGAAAAAAATTCCTCAAAACATGCAAATTCTATAAAAAAAAGTCATTTTTGACCAATAATTCCTTTTGTTTGGTATCGTAAAGGTGATAAGTAGCTTCCATAATTAAATAAGAAGTGACAATTTAGTGAAACACATTTAATGCTCACAATTAATACATTAACAGACACCTCACAAGGAAGAAAG